CTAAGCCGAATATACTTTCCTTTGGTACAATCGTCCCAGTAAGACTTTGGGAATGAGGAAATAAAGCCCCGCATAAGCTCTGAACCAACGTGTCCCCACCCCCATGTGATAGGGTAGGTAAGTTACATATTTTAGCTATCGAAGAGTATAATCTATTTTGCCTGACACCCATTAGTCTGTTTTAAGCTGAAGTTTAAGTATTCAATTAATTTATAATCTAATTAATTTGAATTGGAAGTTGTTATAAAATAGGTGTTTGCTTTTAGACCACACGCATAGCTCCAAAGCTCCCCTGGGACTTGTGAAGTACAAGAAAGACTAGAAAATTCTCTTCAGAGAAAGTGTAAGCAAGCAACAAGCCAGCAACAAGTTCATCCATATAGAGAATATTAAGAATGTCTTACATCAAGCCCATGCTGGTGAAAAGAATGTACTGAATATGGCTGAATGTTTTACTGGCTTGCTGCTTTTAATCTGCCAATAGTGCATTTACTTATCCGGTACTTCTGATGTTGTTTATTATGTAGTTTGATTGTACTTACTCTTGTGGTCTTTATCTTATTGCCAGTTGCGCACATCCATCCTGAGTTATCAGGGAGGGTCTTACATTCTTCCCCTTCTAAACACGGCTCCATTTCACACCACCACTTCCCAATGACTATTGAAGCTGTAAGAGAAACACAACACTCAGCAAGCTGAATTCCACATATCTCAAGCTGACCAGTAGAATTTTTTGTTTTTGGAACATTCGTTGGAATTGCTAATGGTGTCCAATCAACGTTCTTTTCAATGGTAGTGCCAAAAAAAAAATCGAAGTAGCAAGATGGGAAATTTTTCTCGAACAAAGTTATTCAGTAAATATGGTTTTTGTTCAGGAAACTCCATTTCAAAGTCAAGTGTTAAAACCAAGCACAATATCAAATGATATTCATTGAGTCTCTGATGGCATTATCGAATGTTCAGATGCGATTTTTCATATACAACTTGGTTAGAAAATCTACCAGTATATGACCAGTTTTATACTATGTTGTTTTTTGCAACACTACAACATTTTAACAACTATCAGACTATCAGATATAGGTCAGATTATGGTCTGTTCACATCTGTGTGCCGGCCTGAAGTATAAGATAAGGAAAATATAATAACAATACAGATTTATAAATAATGCCAATGGTGAAAGCTGTGTGAACCTTGGGTGAAAACATAAATAAATAGACCCCTTAGTAGAGTGAGAAAAGTTATAACTTTTGACAATTATTTTATTACAATCTGTAGCTTCCTGTTCCAGTAATGCCTACGCCCCTATTTCTTGTGTAGTACGCCTCCACTTGGGGTGAAGCGGAAGTACTCTGGCTGGCTAACATTTCCATCTCAGGGTCTGGATGTTGGTGTATGGTGGAAAGAAAAATAGGTTAGGTGTCAGTCACATTTTGCTCTTTATTTATGACTCAATTCTAAGAGTAATTTTTTGGGGGTGGAGAAAACCAAAAATAGGGCAGGCATTCCAAAGTAACAGTAGGGCTTTAAGAGCAACCTCTTGGTAGTTGCTGGCCATGTGGGAGCAGCCAAACAGATGTTTAGCCATGAAAAAAGGGGCCACAGTCTTTCTTTAGTTGCAGTGGATCTCTAATACATTTGGCTCCTGACCCCTGATTAGCAATTGAAGATACCTTGATTGAATCCTTCAACAATGTCCAGCAGTAGCCTGTACCCAGCTCCCCTGTGACACTTTTCCACAAGAGGATTCTTTTCAAGCCCAGCTACCCCCAGATATCCACTCCATCTTAAGTCCACTGAGCCAAAGTTTTGGTTAGAAGCTTGAATGACCTACAGCTACAGATAATTCCACAAGGCTCTACTCTTGTCAACGAATATACCAAGAAATTGAGGCTAGAGTGGGCACATCACTAAAATTGGAAAACCTGGTCTGACAAAACTCAATATCTATTATGAAAGACAAATGGCTGGTCCAGAATGTGTTTTATGAAGCATGCATCCTGTGTTGTTCAACAAGACAGTGGTGAAGAAATGGCACAGAATTTCTGACGCCTCTTCACACCTAAGGAGCATTTGAATGGCACGATGTATTGTTGGCTGACTGTGTGCTTCCTTACCTAAAAAGGTGGCCGCTGATTGCTTTGGGAGAGTTGTACTTCTATGCATTCATGTTGGCACATTCAAAATATTTTCATTAAATTAAATAAAAATGATGAACTCATAAAAATTTAAAACTTTTACAGCAATAAACTATATTTTATACTTATCTAACCAATTAGAGGCACGCACCTCTCCTTGACACTATGCAATTAGCTAAACTTGAAAAATGAAACAATCTCCATAAAAATTTTTACCAAATGAAATTATCTTCACACTTATTCATTTATTTTATTGTAGTTGCTTGTTCACCAATACCGAAAATGTTCTTTGTGCAGAAGCACCCACCAAATTTCAGCAACAATGCTTCTGCATTGTCGCAGGAAGCTCGATTGGGTTTCGGTTGTTCATTTAACAAAAAAAAAGAGCACATATGCAGGTCAGGAAAGCAGAATGAATTGCCGCATAGAGACCTGTAGTCTAAATTTGGTGGCAAAGGCACAAAGAAGACAAATTTGCCAAAGGCATATTCACCAGGTGTCGGGCTGAAGCATCCAGCTTCACAGTCCGATGCCTCTGCAGCTGCAATTGCAATGTTCTTCTTAACTTTAAATGCAAAGCTGAAACAACGAGGAGCCCTGTTTAGAATTCATTACAGAAAGAAAGACAGTTTCTTAACGAGCTGTCAGATGGTTGGTCTCTAACTAAGGTATTAGAACATTTTATCTAACTAAGGCATTAGACAATTTGAGGAAGTGTGCTCCCTAAATCCCTCATCGTTTGAAGTGAGCCTATCACAAGCTATGGCAATCCAAACTGTGTACGATGGACAAGTATACAGTCAGAGGTTATCTTGGGTAAAGAAAGAAAACACAAGCCAAACAGATCAGTAGCTCTAGAGATATAGGCAAGAATAGTGTATATTCAAATCTAAACTTACTGAGTGCATTCAATCTTAGATCTGCCTACTAATATGCCCTATTGGCCCTTTTATGTGACTTCACTGACTAGAAGTGGGATTGGAAGGTGGGGGCAAGCAGGCCTTTCACAGAACAGCATTTGTTGAACTGTTTATGCAATTCTGGAACACTGAACCACAGCTTTACCTTCATCCTTTTCCAGTGGTACAGGCCCCTCTGCAGTACTGAAATAGCTTACTCTGATTTCACTGCATACTGTGAGCTTCTCACAATGTGCATTAGAAGCTCCAGCAAGTCAGATAGAGCCTGCTTCACTTCCTGGATGGAGGATGTCCAGTGTAATCTATCCTTTTCCTCAGCAGCCTTACTGTCCCTGGCCCTCCCCTTTCATTCATTGCATTTACGTTATTTCACTCATGGAAGCTCATCATCACACTTGGGCATTACTTAGGTTGGTCTACATGCAAATTCAACCTGCCTAGACAAACCCGCTCCTCCAGACTGACACCCACCCATCAAAGCATTAAAATATCATAAAAAAAAACAAACATTTATTTAAATTTATATTACACATACACACATA